ATCCGATGGAAAGAATGACTGCCAGAAAATGATGGATGCAATCATTGAGAGTACACAAACCTTGAGTTTACTTCATATCTCTTCATACTTAATATCATGCAAAGGAAATGACAGTTTTCTGATATACTCAATTACAGATTACAATTAACTGATTGCAGAAGATACAATGTCTATATTTGAGATCAACAGGCAAAATATCTATTAATCTTATGGGATAATATGAAAATAACAAGGAGAATTAGTGATAATCAGGTATATATACTTGGACTTTGTGACACTGCAAATATAAAAGTATAACTTAAATGACCAAAAATGTGATTAAAATAAGATGCTGCTTAACATTTAGTGAGATATTTCACAATACATCTCAGTCACTTAGCTTCATAGCCTAACAACCATTTTATTTCTTCAGCTGCTCCTTCAATATGAGCTAACTGAACATCTACTACCATAAAAATATACCTATGAACACACAAAGGTAAAAGGTATCGAATACGATTATAAGCAAATGCAATAAACATACAAATGAATTACACTCATGTCACAACATGTTTATACATCTACCAACACCACATTACAAACATCCTCACTTAAAAAATAGTTTTCACCTCTTTTCACCTATGTAAACCACAATAACAAGAACTTTGTCATCTTACACATGGCCTCGAACAAAATGCTTGGTCGTTCACCACCACTTCTACTCAGCACAGAAACACAAATGCCCAGAGAGGAGAATAAACCTCACAAGACTGATGATGACATTGCCCCTCACTCAACCAATACAAAACAGGCAACATGTACATGTACACACGCCTGCACACACACACTCGCGCATCTATCAAAATGCCAGCCCCCACGCCATTAAGAGCACTCAGTCTAGACTGACATATCTGAAGAGATGGAAGGACCCGATGCAAGTGGATTGCTGCCTGCACTGCGCAGGCTTCCTTCAAAGGAGTGTCTGGGGATCCCTAACAACAAAACACAGCAGTATGCAAAGGTAGACAATCATGAAATATAATAACTATAAGCAATTACTGCACATAGGCATAAGGCAGTATAGATAAGCAGGGAGACTGAAAATACAAATGATAACATATCTAAGCGATTATGAGTATACAAATATAAAAAATACAAATATATGCAATTCAGTTACTTGTATTCTACACAGTACTGAATCTCGATACCTCACCTCGAACAAATACTTCTGTACAACATTGACATATATCTTTATAATCTATTGTACAAAGTTGAGTCACCTCACATAGGCATTTTTATTTACTGACAACCTAATACTTTTGGCAGAGGCATTTTTACGTATATGTGATCAGACTTCGGTGGTGGAACGGTTAGCATGGCTCGATCACCGCTCTGAAGCTTTATTGGTTCACGAGTGTAAGTTGATACTATATCATCTACCGAAGAGAATGTCTGCAAAATAGAAACGAATAAATTTGATGATGCATTGCTAAATGAACAGCTTCATTTTGATTTTCATTTCATATCTCTATCACCGTAACATTTCTGATGGCAATTGCAATCCTTTGAATTGTACAGGTATATTTAATAGTTCATCTAAAATATTGCAGGTTATTTCTAGAATAGTTCATGAATTCTTATCCTGTTACTACATCTTGACTTGATTCAGATATCCAGATATATCGTCACCAAGGAATGGGCAAACATATATAACACTTATTATAACATTTTTGTGTCATCTGTTACTTCTATTACAATGTCTTATGGAAAAATGTGTTCTCATTATGGAATTACTACTTATCCGGAATACAATACTACACCTATGAATTTATCTTCAACTACGGCCACTACACTTACCATCTCATTAGTTTTCTCAGAACCAAGAGCAAAAAGCCCGTCAGGGCGACATCGAATGTTGATATTATAAGTGCGGCTCCTGTACCGGAGACAAAGGGTGAGTGGATCACTGGAACGTGTTGAAGGACGTATGAGAAACACACCATCTTCGGCTGCAATAAAAGTTTAGTAAGAGACATTGGATGATTTTTCTTTCTTGGTCATACACTATTACAGTCAACATGATATGCCCTACCTTTCTCAAGCAACTCTCGGGATTTGTTACGAGATATGATGTGGAAGTAAGGACGGTCAAATATGCTGCGGTAGAGCGGGGTTAGCTCCACCATTCCTCCGTCCTCTCGAGGCACCCGCTCTGCCCCTGGCTTCGGGTGTCCCCCAATGCCCGCACTTGCCCCTGTGTAGCCAGGTACTGCCGGCGCCATCTCTGTGGGCGGGTGGTCCAGGTACTGTGGATTTGATGGATGCACATGGGGCTGCGAAGGTCGATTGTACTGCTTGGGAGTCTGTTTCGGGATCGGGGGTGGTGGCAGGGTAGGGAGCTGAGGCGGCTGGGGAACACCATTCTGAGGTCGTACTTGGCCTAAGCCATGCGTTGGTGGGGGAAGCTGGTGTGGGGGAGATTGGCTGCCCCCGGTGCCGCGCCTTCCTGCGTCCCTTGCACCTGTGGAAAGCAAATTCCCAGTTAATTACGTCGTCTGACCTCCAGTCAAAATGTAAAATCTAGGCTTTCCATCATTTACCACTCAATACTTTCAATGAAAGCTAAAACTCGAGAGTATAATTCTACAAATATTCTTGCAACAATTTCTAAACAGAAAAATCTAGGAAAATGGTAAAAAAAAATACAACTTTGTTAATACAGTTATGGGAATTCAGACATCAGAACAAATTCATTAGATACACAAGATATCAGCTTCGTAATCAAACTAGATTCGTTGACAGTGCAATTTTCTGTTCAAGTGTTTCCACTGCTACAGATCACGCGATGCGATTCACGTTTTATTCTTAACTGATCAGTCAGTGATATTCATATATTCCAGTTGGTCATAAGTGATGTACACAGATCGTATGGTACATAAGCGAGGTACTATACGAAATGAAACAGCCAATTGGCAAGTGGGAATGTCAATTAACTTAAAACCATTCACTATCTCGCAACTGGTGTTACTACTGTGACCATTATATCATACTGATTATAACCAAATAATTATGAATTACTCTGATCCACTTCCATCATCAGTTTGTCACTCTATGGTGTTGATATTCTTCTAATAATCATTTATTTCCCATCCGCATGCAATATTTCCATTTCGTCTTGTTGATTGCATAACATGGGTGATGTCTAGCATAAAAAAAAAATAATTTACAAGCTCTTGTACAATTACACTTGTCACTTGTTTCTACTTATTTTTCCACGATAATAAATAAGTTAATAGGTTTCACTAGAAAATAATATTTTCCTTCATCGATTTCTAATACATTTTTGGTCTTTTTTGGAGTACCTCGATAGTGCCAAGGTATTAACATCATTAAGAACATATTCATATTTTCAGTTGTTCAATACCGAGAAAAGGTGTCATTATCATTTAATTTCTTTGACAAATTAAGAGTCGTTCCTAAAAACAATTTTTATTCCAAAATTTGTCTAAGGCTCGGTCTAAATCTGTCCTTAGCAATTTTGTCTGTGACTCGTACGGTTTCCACATTTATAACTAATATTTAGATTTTTGAAGACCCTATCGTAATAATAGATAACATTACTATTACAGTGAATATAATGACTATTATATCATATATTTAATATATTTCATATGTTTACATGACATTCTCTACATTTGTTATGAATGCGTCAGTTTGCATTTTTCGGCTAGAAAACTGCAGTAAACAAGGAAGAAACATCCCAAATGGTGTTTGACAATAAGTAAAGAGATTGCTGTCGGCGTCTCATCAGGACAATTGAAGGATAGTTCTTTCGCGCGTGGGACACCTCCAGGGCTGTCATTAGCCTAGTCCTAGACAAAAATCGGACTGTCTTTAAATTGCTCTTATGATATGCCGACAACAATACGATTTTACAGTCACTGAAGACACTCCACGATATAAAGATATGGAAATCCTTATTCCACTTTTTTACTTATTGTCAAACGTTGATTGGGCCGTGTCCTCCAACAGTTTTCTCATAGCGGCTTCGCAGCAGACGCAATCATGACAAATGCAGAAGGTGCCACTCAAACATCTAAAATATATTAGTCATTATATACTAGCTATTTATTGTAATAGCAATCTTTTAAATTACATTAGCTTATTTTTATAGGGTTTTCTAAAATATAAATATTAGTTCTAGTTAAGCTTTAACTTTGAAATGCACTAGTGCAAGTCAATGACGAAGTCGCTAAGGTCAGTCTTTCGACAGTCACATATAAATGAAATCACGATCTTTCAGTCAAAGACAGTCTTTGAAGAGAGCCCTTCAATTTGTCAAAGGAAATTCTATGACCTTTCGGGAATACCGCCCCAGGCTTTCATTTGGGAAGACAGTGGTTATGGCAAGCAGCAGCACCTTTTCAAGTCGTCATTTACTTAAACCGAGGATGAATATGCAAAGATCGGAAATCGGAAATAGGTTTTCTGAAGAAAACGTGACCAGATTTATTTTTAGTAATAAAAATTACAACCTGAGCAGGGTATGGAGAGTAAAAACTGTCAAATGAGATTTTTAAACCTGAAAGTTTACATTCTCATATTTTCATTCTTCATCTATATTTCATTCTTAATGCTCTTAAATCAAAATGTGTGTATCTAAACATAAAGATATACTAATTGGTTTAGTGCAGTAAAGAACCAACTGCTTATTTTTTTTCCTGGACATTCTCCAGCCTATGCAGAGCGGATACGCAAAATATATATTCAATCACTAGTATAATCTATCTTCTGGTGTGGGCGAGACGGTGGATATGCTTATCATTCCTTTACTTAGTCGTTTGGTGCAGTTCTTGAACCAGAGGCCATAGGAGACCGAATAAGGTACGTAGAATTTTAAATATGTTTTTCTTAGTTTAATTACGTTACTTTATACTGAAAAAACGATATCCATGGTACAAGTCCTATACTGAAAGTCTCTTTTACGTAGCTACTGCAAAGATAAGAAAACAAATCTAGTTGAGTTAGCCCTTATAAGTCACTTAAAATATGCACTGCCTCCCATTCCAAGCTCTGTGGCTTTATTTGCAGCTTCCAAATGGGGGGCAGATATATCATGGGTAAAGTTTTTCAGTACAAACAATGAAAAATGAACTTCTACCTTGTTTTACTACTGTTCAACTCAAGGGCAGAAGTCACTCAGGTTCCTTCAAGTGAGGGAATCTTATAGTATTTTGATACGCAATTCCAGAACTGAATTGCCATATATAGTAACACTAAATTTCCAGCAACAAACGCATCAATATGGACACATAAAGCAACAACAAATATCATTACTTCTCTGGCTATCATTTCTGCTGCCACAGCAATCGCATCAAAAGCAAGCTCTCCAATGCAACATAAATACATAAATAATCATCCAATCTGGTTTAACCGAGTCACCATCAAATCCATCACCATCACGCTATCTTGGAACACTAATGTGAATGACAAGGAACAATAGGAACAAAGGAAAAATAAAGAGGTGAATAATAGAGGGGTGGGGCAAGGTAAAGTGGTGAAAATGTTATGGTAAGTGAACTCAAAAACATATCTGTGATTTTATTTTTATATTTTTGTATTTTATTTTTATTTTTATGCTGGAAAAAACAAGTGAACAGGAATTAGTATTATTGTTATTAATATTTAACGAATAACAAGAAAGATTTTTGTTTGATTTTTATTTTTATTATTATTATTATTTTTTTCATTTAACCCATTCCCGCCGGGCATGCCATGCCATGGCCACTGTGAGATTACTTGTTAGATTGTTTTCACACATAGATGGCTACACTTGTACTAAATCCCCAATGAGCCAGTTACGAGTACCGCCTGTCTCGCCCGTTCACCCTTTTCTTTGATTTACGAAATATTTTACGTTATCTTAATTTGCTGTTACTTATGTTAAAAAACATTATAAAAATTACAATGTTTATGATAAAAATAACACCATCGATATTCATGGCACTAGTGAAAAATACATTTTTCCCGCCATTTCAAATCAGGCGCTAACAGAGCCATCTATGGGCAGACATCTAACAAAAAAGGATAGAAAATAGGCACAGCATTTTCCCCATTTTTTTTCATTTTCCCCGGCGGCAATGGGTTAATTGTATTACTCGTTTTATTTGATATTTGAACAAGAACAAGAACAAGTAGTACTTTTTATGGATTTTATTTTTACTTTACGGTTGAACAAGTGAACAAAAAAAAAAAAGAAAAAAAAAAAGATCTTATTCATTTCTACTTTTTAGTTGATTTTATTTTATGTACTTTCATATTGTGTTTTTATTAGATGTAGCAGAAACAGAAATAACATGGAGAACAAAAATGGATGAAGGGGAAAAGGCACTAAGAAAGTAAAAGAAAGAGGATGATGATATGGTGAAATGGGTGGTATAATAATAATGATGAAAGGGATATGTTACTTTGGAACCGAATCAAATATACGAGTTATCATCTGATGGGGAATCGACTGCTGTGACAACTGGGTCTGACTTCCGAAGAGGGAGGGGACGAAAGGAGAGCATGAAATAAATAGGTAAATTAATTGCATAAAATAATAAAATATAATGGTGATATGGGTAATAGCAACAAAGAAACAAAAGCATTAAAACAACAAACAGTAAAACCAGTAAACGAGAGAGAAATGGTGCAATAGAAACGAACGAAAAGCAAAGTAACAAAGTGACTGTAAATATTTACAAACTATTGGCATAAACGGTGTGGTGTTTGAGTACACGAAAGACGTAACATTAACAATAAAAGGCAATTTTTTTTCTTTTATAGGAGTATTATTTTTGTCGTGTTTTGTTTTTCTCTCACTTTTTTCCTTAGAACATCTCCATCCTGCTCATCCTCTGACTCGCGTGTCTGCCTTATGCGACTGCACGAGTGCACTCCCATAATCACAGGCAATCGAGTCAGAGTCCATAGCAAGTTTGTAAGATGTTCAGTCCTTGAAATTCCTCCGTTTATAGTTCGTCAGCGCTGATCCCACGACCACTAGGCGAGCCGAGGCGGGCAAAGTGACGAGCCGTGTTAATCAATTGCGATTTGCGAAGTTCTAGCTTCGCCCAGGCCTTCTGGCTATGGCCCAGCCTGTGTCAGGTTTTTATGGCTGTCTCATTTTGTCTTCTGCAATTGGCGGTGGGATTGCCAGCTGGCGCTCCTGCCGCCATGGTGTAAGCGTATCGCATAGCCTCTTTACCAGCATGGCGGCTGTTGTAGGCGGTCCCTGTCTCAGGAATTGTGTATGCTCACAATTCTCTAAGTAATGTACGAGAGTGGCGTTCGGCTCGCCGCAGTGCATGCAACACCTCTCTTCACGGTCTATGGTCTCAATTATCTGCCACACACAGTGGAAACCTAGGCGCATCCTGTGAAGAATGACTTCGGTACCTCTGTTGATTATTTCAGAGTGCTAGTGGTTCATAGCCTGTGGCGTCTGAGTACCAGCTGGCCGCGGGGGAGGATATCGTT